CTTGCCCCTTATTTGTGACCGTTGTTTGGGTGAGGTAGAATGATAAATGATATGGAACGGGTTGCACGCAGCAACAATGATATTTGAGGATCGGGTTGCGTGCCGCAACATTGATAAATGATATGGATTGGGTTGCGCGCCGCAACATTGATAAATGATATGGATCGGGTTGCACGTCGCAACAATGATATTTGTGGACCGGGTTGCACGCCGCAACAGTGTTGAAATATTGGGGTCGGGTTGCGCGCTGCAACAGTTATTGATACAAATGTGTTTATTTTGGGTAATAGTTTCTTGTTCGCTGTAAATCCTAAGCTGCTCTTAGATTGTCACACTGGATTCCTGTTAATACTGTTATCTCCCCACAACATGTTTTCCCCTCCCATATTATTACTTGCCTTGTATTTCGACTCCCGCTGTATATTTATAATTGCACAGGCTTATGTGGTGTCCAGTCTAGCCTCGTCACTACTTCGCCGGGGTTAGGCTAGACACTTACCAGCATATGGGGTCAGTTGTGCTGATGCTACACTCTGTGCATTTCTTTGCACAGGTCCAGGTTTCGAGCAGCAGCAGCAGCATTAGCACGGGAGCAGGCTTTCAGTATCGTGAGACCCGAGGTAGCCTTGCAGGCGTCCGCAGGCCCGGCGTCTCTCTCTTATTCACTCTTTTAGACTGTTGTCTCCTTGTATTCGAGACAAACAGCTTATGTGTTCTTTCAGACCCTTGTATTTAGAAATTCTTAGCAGTTCGTGAGTATTGTGACACCAGTCTTGGGTAGAGGCTTATATTGACTACTCCGTATTTTATTCAGTTTCTATAATTAAGACTTCCGCTATTACTTAATTTCGTTGTTTTATATTGTTGCCATAAATTGTTAAAAAGATTTGTTTATTAATGGAAAAGTAATTAAAATGGCTTGCCTAGCTACTACGAGTAGGCGCCATCACGACTCCCGAGGGTGGAAAATCCGGATCGTGACATTAGTCCTTCATAAAGGATGGTTTTCTTGTGACTGCTGATAAAGAGGTGAGTTTTCAACGGTTGATCCAATGGTACCTCAACACAGAGCTGGGCATATCTTCCTCTGGTTGTTGTAGAGGTGCATGTATCAACAGTAAGTAGTTTTCCAATTTTATTACCCAGTTTTTTCAGAATCCGAAGGTCGTAAAATTCTGTAGGTAATTCGGGGAGACGCAACCATATTGCTGAGTATGTTAGTTTCGTTTCAGAAATCATGAATTTTGGTTCCCATTGACGGACTGAGAGAAAATGGTTTAAAATAAACCAAGGGCCATCCTGCAAAGCATGAAGCTTATTCTCCTCCTTTTGAAATTTAATGATGAAGAAATCCGATCCTAGATCAATAAGTGGAAGATTTTCAGTAGGTTTCCATTGTGTATAAATTTTTTGGCGAAGAAGTTGGTAGCCAACCTTTCGACCAAAAACCTTGATAATCACTGCATGTTTCCATGGAGCATAGAGTCTGTTTTTTTCTAGTGAGAGCGGGCTAAAGATTGAAGGGTCAGTAGGTGCCTCCGTTTCATCTGTGATGTCGAGCCTGGGGGTTAGGGAGTAAGGTTGATGAGTATATGAAGGTGTATTGTTTTTAGAGATAAGTGTGCTAAGGTACGACTGGTTGTTAGAATTAGTAAGTTGCGTTGGGGAAACTGGGGGATCAATGTTCATGGTGCCATCAGGGGAGGTGGCTAAATGGTTTAGTGGTGATGGTGAGGAAGAGTAAATTGGAATCATGATGGAAAGTGTTCAATGTTATGTAACATTTCTTTATTTAACAAATAGATGTCCAACTTTGGAGTAGGGTGTGAAAGAAGTAAAAAATTTCTTCTAATTTCTTTTATTGTGCTGAGTTTTCTTTTGATTAATCTTTGTTGTTTCTGTTCCTAGTTTATACTAGAAGAGCTTGTTGAATCCTGGGCGATACGCCTAATTTTAATCACGGTGTGGGCAAAATATCCTTAAGGATAGTATCCTTGACACGCCTCAAGCTAAATCTTATTCTCCATAACCAATATTTTCCAACAATATTAAGACTGTAATCACAGACGATGAGCGTTTGCATCAACAATTCTCTCATACTATCATATCTAAACATAAATGTTCTGTTGATAAATTGTTAAGCGTTGTAATAGACACAAGAAAGAGTTAAAAACAAGCATTTCCTAGTGTCGTAGCATCTTTTTTTTTTTTTTCGCTCCAAACATTTGGTGTTATTCTAATTGCTCCAAAATTATTGTTTAATTTCCTCAATTGGCTAAGCTGTACAAGAGAATAGTAGCTACAGACACAAGTCCTAAGCAGTTGCAATATGCAACCAGGTTACCTAACGTTCGATACGTTTGTACCTCTCCCAAGATGTCAATGGCTGAAGTCGAAAGCAAAATAGGAGCAGAGTCAAGTGTAGATTTGATAACAATTGCTGCAGCACTGCATTGGTTTGATCTCCCAACTTTCTACCAACAAGTGAAATGAGTGCTCAAGAAACCAAACGGAGTAATCGCCGCCTGGTCCTACACTACGCCACAAGTAAACAGCTCAGTGGATGCAGTTTTTTGATCCATTTTACTATAATGATACTGGACCTTACCGGGAATCTCCAAGAAAGTTAGTGGATGAAAAGTACAAAACCATTGATTTCCCATTTGAGCCTGTAGATGGATGTGGTCACAGTGGACAGTTCCAGTTCAAGATTGAGAGAGCCATGTATTTGGATTCTTATTTTACATACTTGAAGTCATTGTCAGCTTATCAAACAGCAAAGGACAAGGGTGTTGAGCTCTTACTAATGCCATTGTTGACAAATTCAATAGTGCTTGGAATGAAGACAGAGAAAGCAAGAAAATTGTAGTTTTCCCAATTTACTTAAGGATTGGCAAAGTTGGGACTTTGAATTGAAATTGCTATTTCTGGTAGTGTCTCAAAGTAGTAATAGGGAGTATAGCATCTGCATAGTCCTTATCTATTTTTTTTTTTCGTTTCTTCTACTTAGTTCTGAAGCTCTACTTAGCTTTATTATTGTACTTTATGTGAAAATCATAAAGTTATTTCTTCATTTTCTCTTCCAGTTCCTCTTTCAAGATAAAATGTAGTTTACTAGATTGAGCTCCTATCCCAAACAATTCTCTTCATGGAGCTCAGAACACATGTCGCAATTAAGCATTTAATTACCCATTTTCCAACAGTGTCATCAAGAATATGGACATGTTTCGCAGGCATGTGATCTGTTACGGGCTGCCCTTATTGACTCTCGGCGCCTGTAATGTTGTGTGACCCGAGCAGGCTGTGCGAGTGTCAGCCATGCGGGCGGCACGTGCTGACGATGTGTTTCAAGGAGCATGAGGCAAAGGGACTTTGGGGGAGGCAATAACCATCTAGATATGTTGTATTGCATGTCCTAAGAGTGCCAAAGAAGTATAACAAGGACCTGGGAGGAGCCCAAGTGTCTAGCCTATGGGCGACAACAACGTGCGTGCCATGAGTGTCAGCATCGCACATTTTCGAGTTATGAGTGAAATCTAGAGATTTTGGCTGCGGGCCTTGTTCCTAGTATGTCCTTATATATACTTTCCAAGTTTGGCATCATTTGGAGTTTGTTTACCTATGGGCTTGACTTATCCAAGTTTAGTGGCATTGTCGTAATTAGCTGAATCTTGCGAAGGCTATATCTCTTTCCTCGGATATGGGAATGGGATGAAACTTTATAGAGTGTGTTGTGAAGGAAGTCAAGACAAACTATTGAGAACAAACAGCACCTCATTCGGAGGTTGGAGTAAGAAAAAGGTCAATTATGATTCTCTGGCCAAAACATGTTAAATAGGGAAACATGTGCTTTTTCTTTTTAAGCATATATAAGGGGGACAGTATTGAACACTCAGCCAACCTCCCCCCGTGCATGCTGCAATTGAGCCGCACCAAGTGAGCAACCTTGGGGTGGGGGGGAGGACCCCAAGGGCCTGTCTAGGCATCTCTAAGGAGTGTCCAAAGTATCCATATGAGTTCGGGAACTCTATGGATGACGCCACACCTCAAGGCTAGCGTTGGGCGCAAAACTAGTGCCAGAGGCTTGACGTATAGAACGGCTAGGCCCTGGAGGTTACCATAGGGAAGGATAAATACCTATGTGCCGATTGGACACTCAAGTCACCACTCTTAAGAGCCTCGTGTGTTGACTTGTGAGCATGACTCAGGTTCAACCTTGCAAGCAAGGGTTCGTTGCCCTAGGCTTGCAGTCGTGGGACGACGCTGCACTATGCGGAATGGAAGTATGTTGTGAGAGCTATGTTTGGAAATGCCATATGACAACCATGGGCATCTTATGAATGACGCACATGACAAAGGCCAAGGATTGATGGTTGCCCTACTCGGCAAAGCACAACCATGTGCCAAGGCACAAGGCAAGTGTCAAGCTTGAGAATTGGACTGTGCACTTGAGAACTATGCTTGATGCCAAACGAGGACTGACATATCCGTAGCCAAACCCCTGGAGTGCACAAGGACAAGATCCAGCCACAGGAAAATGTCAACAGGACAAGGCTGAAGCCTTGGCATAAAACGGGCGACACGGGAGAAGCTAAGCCTTTGAGGCAAGCTTCGACATAGGCACAAAATCATGCTAGAAAACCTGGGATAAGAGAAGGCTGGCTTGTAGTTAGGTGGGACTACGGGAGCCGTACGGGAAATTTGTGTAAACATTCTCGCGCCAAAGTATTCGTCCGATACAAAATTAACATAATCTCTCACAGCTTCTTTCAAATGCAAAACTAATTTCAGCGAGGGAGTTGCTTCCTGATTACCAGTTAGGAAGTATATGACAAAATGGAAGGTCATCAAAGTATATGAGAACTGGAGAAGCCACATCTGAGAAATAGTTCAACAAGAAACTATGAACAAACTTAACTTTCTGAAGGTAAAAAAGGTTACAATAGAAATTTGATAAAGGACGATAGAACATAAAAAATAAAATTAAAAAAAAAAAGGAATAGAAAAAAGTAAGCTTGAGGCATTACCATATATAACAAGCCTGTTACGAGTTGTTTTAACGGTAATAGATAAGATGACTTTGCTAATCACACTTCAATGTGGGACTCTTGCCGTCCTGTTTATTTTTACTTCAATATCACAAACTGTACAACAACAACAACAACAACAACAAATTAAAAAATAACTAGCACTGGTATGCACAAACTGATGCTAGCAACTAATGAGAAGAGACCACAGGCACAGGCACAGGCACATTAGTGTGAAGAAGCCTTAATCTTCGTTTTATCCCTAAGACCAAATGATTTTGATGTTTTATCCATGATCCACCTAGTAAACAATGAGTTAATAGTTAGAGCCTACAGCAGAATATATGAAATACTCCTATAAAGATGGACACATTCTGAATAGCAATACCTTTTCCAGCTGAGTTTATTAGCCACGTTTGTTTCTTGTCCTTCTTCCTTTCCTTCAATTAGCATCCAATCTTCATCATCGTCATGATCCATAACTACAGAATCCTTCCTCAAGCTACCAGTGAAATCATCTCCCGTTATTGTACCATCCATGGTATCTTTCTCAAGCAATATCTTATTTTCTTCTAGTTTGCTTGACAAATTGACTGGGTCATCTAATTGCAATTTATGCTCCAAATCACTGTCCATAAGTGAACAAGACTCCTGCAATATATTCTTTTCTTCAGATTTACGTGACTGGTTAGCTTCGTTTTCCTGTGATATTGAGACCAATTTCTCATCCAAACACGCGGAGGGTCCAACACTTTGTTCATCACCTTCGTTAAACATCGCATCAAGACCAAAATTGACAGTGGCGGCCTGATACTTAGTTGGTTCTAATTTATTAATACAATTCAAGAAAAGCTTCGATTTTGGGTACTCGCCTTCTACGTAACCAACCACAAACGGATACTCCTTATCAACATCAAGAAAGGCCTTCTCGTTACGAATATTTCTAGCGTCACGTATCGTAGCATCAATGATCAAGAATCCATCGTCGGTCTTGTCTTTCAGTTGAACTGATGTTGGGATTTTCCGTGTCAACGTGGCACAAGAGCAAAATTCACGGAGCTTGGAAAAGCTTTTATGGGTACAGAGGAAGTAAATTCCATAAGGAGTGAAGATTACAGTTGTATCGGTAAAGTCATCACCTAAGAGCCATAAATAGAAGGAGGATGATTTTGGATTGGAGAAGTTGGCCAATTTTGGTGGGGTGTGAATAACCACAACATCAGAATTTCCCCATAGTTGTTTCTTGTATTGGATCCAATTTATGTAAAAGGCATTAAGCCTCTTCTCGAACAGCTCTGGGATCATCTTTTCTCTTTGGTAATTGAAATTGCCCGAGAGGAGGGGGTGAAGCAGAGTGGGGAGTCAAGGCATGCGTAGACTTGAAGTATATGAATTGAGAAAAGACAATCCAAGTAGGTACAAGTCTTTGTTTAATTAGTGTAGGAGATAGTGGATTCCGACGAATATGGTTGGAAATTTCATGGCATAGTCCATGTAGCTACTAATTTTTTAGTCACAAAGATACAAGGAAATAGTCATAGTTTTCAACTTTCCAATTGCCTTTATCAAAATACAGGATGAGATATCCTAGAATTTGCGAATTTTTTATTTCTTTTGTTTTAACTTCAGAAAGTTTTTTATCTCTTCAACCAAATATTATCCGAACGCCTATTGTCAAAGATGATACGTTTACAATCATCTATCTTTTGCCTAGTATATTCCAACTTACATGTACTAAAGCTTAATTAGAGGTCTCAAATTCGTACCTTGAAAATGAAAAATAATCCTAGTAGGTAGCGCTTCCTCTTTAATAGGTCTTATGTGACACGAATCTGAATTAATTGAAGTGTGATCTCAATGCTGATACTGGATGCAGGGTGGCACCACAAAAAAAATAAAAATTCCATGCTTCAATCGAGAGAGGCACACTATTTGCTCGGTGAATACCTTGTACCATAGCTAGGAAGTCCACTTGCTTTGTGCATACAGAAAAATAAGGATGCTACTACATTTGGTGAATCTGATCACGAAGTTGCCTATATTGTATGTTTAGTTTTCTAGAATGAGATTTCTTTACATTTGTAGAGTAAAATAATATTTTACCAATTAGGTTACCTGAATGATAACTACGGACAATCTTAAAGCTTCACATATCCTACTATAACATGTTAAAATACTAATGCAGAAATCCTTTTAGAATTTCAAAGTCAATGAGCTTACTTGAATAGATCTGGAGATGCGAAATTTGGAAGGCAGGCCCAGGGAAGTGATGAAAAAGGGATTTTTTTTTTGTTTCTATACAATATTTAAAACTTATTTACTAAAATTGTTCTAATTTTGTATATTACCCGCCCTAAACAAGGATTACTTATAAATTATATACATTCCACCTTAAAAGGCTCTCAATTCATTATTAGTACCTTCAATCAAAGAATTTAGTTACACCTTTTTTCTTTTTTCTCTCCTCTCTCCCCTCTTCTCTCCAGATTATTGGGACCAAAACAGTCAATATTTTGCACAAAACAAATTAAGTAATTGCATATTTTGGGACGCATTTTAACAGAAAGGAGTAAAAACGAAATAGGATGCAGGGAGTATAAAATTTTTCATTGTGACTTATCCCAAAGAAAAACGCTCACTGTTTTGAGTTCCTTTCTTAGTTCTTTTAACTGTCTACTAGAAATCTCGTTTCCCTGACATTTGATTTTCCTGGCTCTATTTATACTTATCAGGGTTTGAAAGCCAAATTTTGCAAGTACAGAGCAGTACCTGAAAGCATCTCCAAATACTATCATGCTGAATGTTCTGTGGTATTAGGATGTGAGACACACATATTGTATATCTTACATTACCATTGAAATAAATTTTGCTTATTATTTCATTGATATTGTTGAAGAAGAATCACATGCAAATTAATAAAGCTTGCAAGTTTATTTATTTACTTCAAAAAAAATTATTAAAAAAAGTTGCACATTTTGCTTTTAATTTATAAACTGCATATTGCATAGTGTGAACTGTTTTATATAGAAAGTTAAGGAGAAATCGGGACGGATTTTAACAAGATCTAAAAAGAAATTCTACTGAATCCAAACTTCATTGCATATTATATTCAAACTAAACACATAAAAATCTCTATCTCTAAGAACAATATATGGTACATCAACATACAAATTAAAAATAAATTCCGTACAAATTTAATGCAAATTTGAATATCTACAACAACATACATAGTAAAAATAAATTTCAAACAACTAATTTTATATTATACAACTTATCTCCAACTTTCATACATTATTTCTACCCAGTTAAATTAAGGGTGTTAAACGGGTGAGCCGGGCCGGTCCGGGTTGGGAAAAAATGAAACCGGCCGGTTTCCAATCCGGGCCGGTTATGGGTTAGTCTATACGGGCTTAACGGGTCCAGATCCATCCGGGTAAAAAATGAACCGTAAGGGTTACGGGTCCAAGGGGTCAGGCCGGGCCGGGTTAGTGTTATTTTTTTTTTTTTTTGCATTTTGTATAACTATTGTAATTTATATTAATATAAAGTAAAAATATAAAATTAAAAAAAAAAATCTTATAAAAAAGGATGCAAAGGCTTTAACATCTTTATATTTGAAATTTTGAATATTTTATTAAGAATTTAAGATAATAGGATATAATGAAGATGGAAAAAAATTGCACTTATAATTTGCAAGTTCTTTTTTTATTTCAAACTTTGACATTTAACAACAACTAAATTAATGAAAAAAGAGTAAAACTAACTTTTCATTGCATTATATACTTCAAATTAATCTAACAAACTAAAACATTAAGCATAAATACGTCTAATAATTTTAAAATAGCACAAATTGTCTCAAATCAACTTAAATACGAATTTCTGGAGGACGCTCAAGACAACTCTTCATATGCCTCCTTAAACAGCCTGTGCCCACCCACTTTAGACGAAGATTTAAGACTAGACCACAGTTCTTGCACTTTACTTTGTGAACATCTTCATTTTCTTCTACCACCTAAAAGTGCTTTCAAACATATGAGCGCAAGAGTGCGGGGCATGATTTAACTTGAATTGAGAATTTGAGTTTGAGAAATGAGAAATGAGTGAAAAAATGAAGAAGAGGGGGGGTATATTTATAGTTTTTCAAAGGACTAAATTAGTAATTACTAAAAGTGTTATTTTTTAAAAAACATTGCCCAAAAATGGACTATTCTTGCAATCAACCCATTGGGCAACAGTCATATGACAATTAAAAAACAAAAAAATCTGAAATCTAGCCGCTAAATCGGTCCGGGCCGGGCCGGTTAACCGGTTCTATAGGAATTTTGGTTGACCGGGTTTGACCGGTCCGGTTAATCGGATGTATTAAGGTGAACGGACCAACCCCCCAACCCAGCCCACCCGGCCCCCTAAGTATCGGACCGGACCGGTCCGGGTTTCAATCGGTCTTGGCCGGTCCGGAAACGGGTCAACCCGGCCCGTTTGATACCCTTAAGTTAAATACAACTACAATATCATATCAACAACTTTATGTAAAAAGATACTATTGATGACTTAAATATAAATTTTATACAACGATTCATATATTATACAACTATTTCTCAACTTTCATATAACATTCAAATAAAAAAATATATAACTACAACATAATACAATTTACATACAATTATACTACAATTTCGTAAGTATATTATATGTCATGTGTTCTTCTTCTTCTTCTTCTTCTTCTTCTTCTTCTTCTTCTTATTATTATTATTATTATTATTATTATTATTATTATTATTATTATTATTATTATTATTATTATTATTATGAACTTCTGCCAAAATCAAGTCTAATCTTCACCAAAACACCCTCAAAATTGAAATATAAACTCCAAACAATATTATAATTGTATGCAACAACACCCAATCCAAATAAATAATGATTTTTGAAAACCCAAATTCGATTTCAAACCTTCAAACCTTTTTAATGGCTGTCAATGGTGGAGAGTCAAACACCTTCAAAATTTATTGATTCACAATTTAAATTTGAACACCAATTGTAAAACATGATAGGAAATTGCTAAGTTAAAACGATTGAAATCCATTAATGAACACCTTCAAAATTTATTGATTCACAATCCATTATATTTGTTGTATAGTGACAGTCTATTTTGTATAGTGACAGTATATTTTGTATATTTTTTTATATAGTAACAGTCTATTTAGTATATATTTTGTATAGTGACAGTCTATTTTGTATATATTTTGTATAGTGACAGACTATTGTATACAAATTGTATTGTGACAGTCTATTTAGTATATTTTTGTATAGTGATAGTCTATTTTATATATATTTTGTATAATGACAGTCTATTTAGTATATTTTTTGTATAATGACAGTCTTTTTTGTATATATTTTGTATAGTCACAGTCTATTTTATATAAATTGTATAGTGATAGTCTATTTTGTATAATTCCCTTACACTTTCATGTTTGCCCATTAGGGACCCATTAAATCTCGTGAACACAAACTCCAGATAAACACGACAGAATTCTCAACCCATGCGGCCTACAATCCAAAAAGGAATTTAAGTTCTATAAATTAATATAATTACATATAAATTTTAGCCACTGCTGTTAGTGTAAAGATTGATGGTTCAATACGGAGGCGGCGCTTGCGACGGTGGCATTCGGCAGCGGCTTCTTCTGCTGAGGAAAATGCGTATGATCACTAAGGGAGAAGGAAGAAAGGCGGAGGAACGACGTATGATCGCTGACAGTGGCAGAGGAACGACGGAGAGAGCGGAGGAGGATGCCATATAGAGGGTGAGTGACAGTGGTCTTGGGCTAGCCTTTTAATTAGTTTTGGGCTACAAAATGCATACTGTATTTTTGTGGCTTGCGGTTGATATTAATTTCTAGCGGCTGGCTATAAATGAAGTTTGCTCAAAGTTATTCTGAGTAAGTAGACAAAGTAGAAATTGCATGGGGCGCCCTATTTGGTTGCCCTCTTTTAACTTATACCTGCTTTGTTTTTTCGTTTGCATCCGTACCTATTATTTTGTTAAAAGCGTTTTAAAAAGATAATTTTGCCCTTCAGGACTATTGACAAAACTGCAGACTGCAGGACAAAACTTCAGCATGTTCTGGCATGAAGTTTAGCAGATGAACTAAATAACTTAAGCATTTTTAGTCTGAAGTTTTAGCAAATGAACTGAATAACATAAGCATGTTTAGTTTGAAGTTTTAGCAAATGAACTAAATAACGTAAACATAATGAACTAAATAACTTAAGCATGTTTAATCTGAAGTTTTAGCAAATGAACGAAATAACTTGAGCATGCATTAGCAAAAACTCATTAGAAAATTACATATTGCAAGACAAACTTAAGCATGTTTAGTCTAAAGTTTTCGCAAATGAACTAAATTTCAGCATGTTTAAACTGAAGTTTGAACAAATGAACTAAATAACTTCAGCATGCATTAGCAAAAACTCATTAGAAAATTACATACTGCAAGGCAAAAACTTAAGCATGTTTAGTCTGAAGTTTTCGCAAATGAACTAAATAACTTCAGCATGTTTAAACTGAAGTTTTAGCAAATGAACTAAATAACTTCAGCATGGATTAGCAAAAACTCATTAGAAAATTACATACTGCAAGACAAAAACTTAAACATGTTTAGTCTGAAGTTTTCGCAAATGAACTAAATAACTTCAGCATGTTTAAACTGAAGTTTTAGCAAATAAACTAAATAACTTCAGTGTTCATGAGAAAACTATAGACTACAAGATAAATAACTTCAGCATGCATTAGCATGAAGTTTTAGCTTCAATGTAAAACAACTTCATACTATATTAGCATGAAGTTTCTGGTTTTTTTATAAAGTTGCTGAGAGGAGAGGAGGAGATCTTTTTTCATGAATGACGTTGCAGATCACGCGATTTATCAGGGGTGTAAGTGTCATATTATTACGGATTTTTTGTCAACTGACTACCAAATCAATAATTTTTAAAAATAGAATACAAGTTAAAAGGTGCCACAAATATAGAGTACGGCTGCAAATCTCGTAGACAAAAGCCAAATCCACAAGGTCGTATAGAAACTGGAAACCTGGAGCAGTAAATAATAAATTATTTAAACCATCACATCATGACACTAACAATTTAACAACCATAGGCAAGTGTCCACATTCATATTTCTTGTTTTTTATTGGTTTTGTCCACATACTAAAAAAGAAAAAGAAAAAAAAAAGAAAGAAAAAAGATGCAAAGTTTTGTTTGATAAACACTTGGTATATATCAAAATGAGTTCAACCTAGTCATGGACACAACCAGGCCGAGTTAACTCATCTTTACATTTTGCTCATCTTGATCAAGCTGCCAGTTTTCCCCATACTTTTAGCTATATCTCTAAGCACAAACTTCTGAATTTTCCCAGTTGAAGTCTTTGGAAGCTCTTGTTTGAAAATCACAGTCTTTGGCACCATATAATGTGGTAATTTGGCTCTACAAAACTCTATAATATCCTTCTCACTTGCCTTTTCTTTTCCATTCAAGCTGACAAATGCACACGGAGTTTCACCCCAAAATTCATCTGGTCGTGCCACAACTGCTGCCTCATTAATTGCTGGATGTGTGTACAACACTGACTCTACTTCCACACTGCTCAAATTCTCACCACCACTTATAATCACATCCTTTGACCTGTCTTTAATTTCTAAGTACCCATCAGCGTGCATAACCGCAACATCCCCCGTGTAAAACCAACCATCATCTTTCAAACATTTTGATGTTCCCTCGGGGTCTTTAAGGTACCCTAACATAATACAACCACCCTTTAGGACAATTTCACCTAACGTCGTACCATCGCGTTTCACACTGACTCCAGATTCTGGATCCACCACGTCCACTTCAGTCATCCCTATAGTCCTCACACCTTGTCTTGATTTCAACCTCGCTCTTTCCTCTGCAGGCAATTTATTCCAGTGATTTTTCCACGTACAAGAAACTACTAGCCCGCCAGTTTCTGTTAGCCCATATCCGTGGTGCACTACAAATCCTAACGACTCTGTTCGAAACAGGACAGCTGCAGGGGGTGGAGATCCTGCAGTCATAATATAAACAGAGTGTTTTAAGGGCTTGCTATCAGGGGAATTTGACAACATGTTGAGTACCACAGGAGCAGCACAAATATGAGTAACGTTGTGTTTTTTGATCGAGTCGTAAATGATTTTCGCGTCGAATTTTCTCAAACAGATATTAGTTCCACCAACTACAGCCATGCCCCAAGGATAGCTCCAGCCGTTAGCATGAAACATAGGAAGTGTCCATAAATAAACGGGCTGTTTTGGAACAAGCCATTGTTGTAAAGAGTCCAATGAAATAATGAAAATTCCTCTGTGGCTATGAACCACTCCTTTTGGGGCAGAGGTTGTACCAGAAGTGTAATTCATCACAATTGGATCAAATTCACTTTTGGGTCGAACCCAACTGAAACCCGAATCCCCTTTTTCCACTAATTTCTCATACGTGCTCATGAATTCACTGGTTTGTGGAGTTGGGAATTCGTCATCTTCGATGAGAACTAGGAGTGGACGGTTGGATTTCGGCGGAAAAAAGGATATTGCTTCAAGAACTAGGGATTTTGACTGACAATCGACAAATACGAGTTTTGATTCGCTGTGACATAGGAGGATAGAGATAGTGCGAGCATCGAGACGAATATTGATAGTGTTAAGGACTGCACCCGCCATCGGAGCTGCAAAGTGGAGCTCGTACATGGCGGGTATATTAGGGGCGACAACTGACACGACATCACCTCTATTGATACCAAGAGAGGCAATTGAGGAAGCAACTTTGAGGCAGCGGGTATGGGTTAGGGACCATGTGTGAGTAATATTGTTGTAAACAACGGAAGGGCAATCGGCATAGATGGTGGCAGCTCTTTCTAAGAAGGTAAGAGGAGTAAGAGGAGTTGAATTTGGTGGCCTTGGCTTTAGCTGATCCATAGTTTAGGCTTCTATTAGTTTAGGCTTCTATTGTTTGTGCGTCGATGGTTGATGTTAATGCTGTTACCTAGGCCTGTATATATCCAATGAGACACGAGGATTAAAGCGAGTTACGTGTTTTTGTTTGAAAAAGGGAACACCATATAAAACGTGGAGTGGGATATAAAACTCGAATTTCAACTTCGATAAAGGAGAAATTTCTAATAAGGCTTTTAAGTGGACCCTAAATGCCTAATTTATAATGAGAATTTTTCATAAAGCACCATTTTTTAATTCTAATTAGTCATTTATAGATACATTTTGCTATATTACTTGTTATAGATACCTTTTATGTTTTTATACAATGTATTTCATGTATTTAAGCAGTTGTATTCATTAATACAACCAAAAAAATAGGCGTAAAAACGGGAACTCCAGCTAAGGGTATCTGTATTTATCTGTATTCAAGCTGAATACAGATAAAATTCAGTAATGTTTTTGCGCAAATTCTGGGAAGTTAAACTTGTTAAAAACGGAAGGAAATAAATTCACATGATAGTCTCCTAATTTAACTCAAAGAAATAATACGAGTACACAATAATCTGCTCAAAGAATGCAGAATAATCTTCTCCCTTTTTTCGTGAAAAGAAGCAAAAAAACAGACCATCCAAATTCTTCAATTCTCTTCTCCTTTTTTCGATTGATACAAATTATATACAACATAAGTTATAGTTGCTCTATACATATGGCAAGTTTAACAGTTTTGTTGCGTCATTCTGGCAAGTGGAACGATGAGGGCAATTATATCGATTTTGCAATTGAGGGAATACTGATTAAGGAGTATGCCTCCTTTAATGATCTAGTTGCTTCAATTTCTAATCAACTGGGTATAGATTTGAGCTCAAAGACCATTAAAATACAATACAAAGTAGAAGGAAATTGCACGCTAATGGAAATACACAATGATATGGGTTACAGAGTGTATGTAGAATTGAAAAAAGAGAACAGAGAATTTGGGATGTATCCTTTGTGCGTAACTACTATCGAAAAAGAGCTTATAGACGGAGGAGTTCAAAGGTACGATTCTGATACTAATAATACACTAGCTATAGAATTTGTCTATTCAGGAGAAGCGATTGGAGTGTTCGAACTCCACAATGATTTGATAATTTCAAAAACCAATCAAAAGGAGGTTATGGCCGGACAAGTTTATAAGGATAAGGCTACATTGAAAGAGGTGATGGAGAATTATGCTATAGCTCAAAGGTTTCAATTCCGGGTTGATCGGTCTAATGCTGTCAGGTTTGTTTTTTGTTTAAATTTGTTGTATTTATGCGTATTTGTGTGTTTCCTCCTGATGAACACATATGAAAACTTATATTTGTTTAGGGTGCTTAAATACATGTATTCAAATGTATTTTAATGGTGTACAAACACAATAGAGGCTCTAATTATTTTCTTATTTTGTCTACTGTGGTATTAAGTGTTTGCATATTCATACAAGTGTATTCAGTTGTATTCATTGTGTTTGAACGCATGTAACTATATTGGAATTCAGTAGTATACAAAATTATATATACACTTGTGAATTTGTTAACATGTATTCAGGATGTATATATGTCAGATTCTATTTGTCTGATGTATGAGCTGTATTTGTTGTAAACAAGTATGCTAATCAAATGTTAAATGATTAATTCTTTGCAGCTATGCATTATTATGTATTTCAGAAGATTGTGAATGGAGGTTTAAGGCTTCAAGCATTAACAAATCAGAACTATTCAAGGTGAGAGAATTCAATGATAACCATACATGTCCGCTGAAGGATAAGGTGTACGAGCAGCGGCAGGCTAGTAGCAGCCTTATAGGTGGTATTATAAGGCCAAAGCTTACAAACCATAAGAGGAAATACACTCCGAGGGACATTATTGATGATGTGAAATCAGATTTAGGTGTAGATGTTAGCTACATGTTGGCGTGGAGGGCTAAAGAAAAGGCAATGAATTTTCTTAGAGGTGAACCGGCTGATTCATACAAAAAATTACCAGGATACTTATATATAATGGATATGACATATCCAGGTTCCCACATCAGAATGGTAAAATCGCCAAAGAATGAGTTCATGTACGTGTATATATCATTGTATGCCTTTATAAGGGGGTTTGATCATTGTAGACCAATTGTTGTTGTGGATGGAAGTAACCTAAAATCTTACTACACCGGTACATTCGTTTCGGCAAGCACGTTGGATGGTGCAGGTGAGTATTTGAATAATAATACAATATGTTAATATTTAAATATTAAAATACATGTATTAAGAAATAATTATATTCAATTGTATGTACAGGTCATATATTACCACCAGCATATGGTGTTATTGATTCAGAGAACAATGCTGCTTGGACGTGGTTCTTTGAGCAATTCAAGATAGCATAAGGTGTAAGGGAAAACATGTGCATCGTTTCAGATAGAAATGAGAGTATCATTAAATCTGTATCGAGAGTGTATCCGGATGTACCGCATTTTGCTTGTATATGGCATCTATGGAACAACGTATATAAGAAATTCAAAAAGAGTCATGCCAAATTGAGCGAGATATACTTTTCGATGGCAAAAGTATACACAGAAGCTGAATTTGACAGTCTAATGGAGAAGGTGAAGAAGGTAGATATTAGGATGAAAGAATACTTATAGTTAGCTGGTTACGAAAAGTGGGCTAGGTTGTATGCACCTGTTAACAGGGGATGGACAATGACGTCAAATATTGCTGAGTCAATCAATG